CCCTTTTAGACAGCGAAATTTGATGGCCGTCTGGCACACCTTCAAGGATACCTACCGCAAAAAATTCCAGGACTCTAGGACCATTCCCCTAGAAGTAGTTTGAAACGACAGAAGTGGGTCCGAACGGTCGGACGGACGGACGGACAAAACGCAAACAAAAAATTTTTTTTAATTCTTAAAAAATGCGCTAAAAACGCTAAAAATTTGAAAGGATGAAACGTTTTTATTAACGAACACTACACCAAGGAAATGCAACAAGAGCGAAAACAGTCAATCCGAAGAAAGCAGGAAGCCAGACAAAAAGGGCACATTGCACAAATAAAATATAATAAACTGATAATAAATAACGAGGTATTCGGGATTCGTAATAGCATTGCACAGCGCATTGCGAAGATAAGAAGTGAGAAAACCGTTCACAATGAAAGAGCAGTGCGCAAAAGGTCCCCGGAGGAAGACCCACTAGTAGTACAATTAAGGAAAATAAATAAGAATAGAAATATAAAAAACTAAGCATGAAAGATGAAGACGGGAATGTAAAGAGCCTAACAGGTAAAGAAGAGGAAGTAATTACGGAATCTGAGAGTACCAGAGACAAAAAAAAGGACCGAAATGAAAAACGGGCATGTATTCGTATGAAGTGATGTAGAAAATAAAGAAAGAGCACAAAGAGGAACACAGATAGCAACAGTAATTGCAGTATACGGGCCAAACGAAGATGAAAGAGGGCAAAGAAAAGATGAATTTGGGAGCAATTAAGTCTAACCGCGGAAGCAGCCGGAGGAAAGATATGACAATAGAAAATAAAGGAAGAGAAAAATTGTAGGAAATATTCAAAAATATAGTAATTGAAGCAGCCAAAAATATACATGTGGAATATACAAAGAAAATAGAAACAAAAAGCTTACGGCATGGTGGAGGGAAGAAATTAAGCAGCAAGTAAGAGTGAATGAGACAAAATAGGAACAGTATCTGATTAATAAAACAGAAAGAAATTATGAATAGCACAAAGAGCCAAGAATAAAAATGAAAAAAACTAGTAAGAGAAGCCAAAGAAAGATCATAGACGGATTTCGGGGTCAAACTCGAACAGAACAGCGAAGAAAACCAAAAGGTATTCTTCAAAATGTTATATTTTTATTATTTAGTTTTATTATTTTTAATGGTCTGTAGTAACTACAGAAGAATTACCTTATTGAACACCCCAATGAACCAACGCTATTATACAATCGCAGAGTTGATTATTAATTGCAGGGTACTAGATCTAGTTTTGGGTTTCAACTACTAGTTTTATTTTCAATTTGTAATTTCTCGTCCACGTTACGTACGAGTTAGAATTTTAATTATCGTTGATACCTCTCCATTTCGCTTTGACATGTCCGGTGTAGGTATATTATTTTGGTAAATGCAGACGTGTCTAGAACGGCATCCCCTTATCTGAGATCCCCTACACCGAAAAGCTCTTGGAGCGGAGACTTTTCATTCTTTTAATTAATTAAGTTTGTCACTAGTTTCCTCTTTTAAGGGATTTCACCAATGTTAATTTTCTTTGAATTTTTAAAGTCTTTAATAAGTACTTGGCTTTACTAACCTATATTAATGCAACTATGCACCTATTAATGCAACAATCTTGTTATTAATACTTATTACAATACTATTGTTAATTGTTAATAATGTATGTATAAATTGGCTTGGCCGTCAATAAATATTATTATTAATGCATGATCGAATGTCTCCTCTCCTTCAGAGATTGCAAACCATTAATTAACGGAAATAACCTTGCGACAATGGAATAATATTCTTCTCCTTCTATTTTAGCTGTATAAAACTTGCGGAGATAATATTGCCACCTACAGCACTGCCACGCACAAAAACAATAAACCGATACAACGAAATATCGAAGGATCCTCAGTATTACAATCACTTTTAACGACAATTTATTTTAATCTTACAAAATACATTTTATAGTTAACAAAAATGCATCAAT